TTGATTATTTTGTACGATGATGTTTGTATTAATATACATGTGGAGGTGGAATTGAAATTTCGATGTTATTAGGCAAAATTTGAAATTTTTTCCAGTAATTTATTTGTGGTAGCTTCTTGTGATGATCTCTGGTAATCTGACTGAAATATTTCATTTATAGATTCATGATCCAACTGTCGCTGGGATGAATTGATTGATATGTTTAGTGAAATGTAGCAAGTTTGGACAAAATAAAATGGAATACTAAAGACGGATACGCAATGTAATCAAGGCAAATTTCATAAATATTAAAAGAAGGCAACCAATTAATTCAAAAAAAAAAAAAAGAGAAAACTATCATTTCGTTTAAAATAGCGCGCTATAGCGGTGCTATAGCGGCGCTATAGCGGCGCCATTAATGCAACGCTGCGGTGCTATAGCGGTGCTATAGCGCGGTGATAGCGCCGCTATAGCGCGAAATAGCGGCCAGAAAATGGTGCCGCTAAATTCGATAGCCCGCTATTTAAATCTTTGTTTAAATGTCAAATATCGAAAATAAAATGATATACTAGAAATGGACCAAGATAATTGCACTATTCAACTTAGAACTTTTTATTTTCAAAATTTTGATTTGAAATCATTATATCAAAATTTTTAGTTTTTAGTTGTTTGAAAATATGATTCTAATCCTTAAAAAAATACGAGTTTTGAAATATGTTATTGTTTAAATGTCGTTGTAGAAATGTAGCGCAATGTAGAATGAAATAATGCAAATTAACGTAAAAAAGCATGTCATTTCAGCATTTCGCATAAGTTTTTTTGGGAAAACGCTAAATAAATTGACGCTACGTTGCATTATTTGAAAAGAAAAACTACATATCGTGCTATTATGATCCAATCACACCCCTTGGGCTTATTTAACTTAAGTTTCCCACTCAGGACCATTACTCCGCCGCTTTCATTTCCCTGTTGCAACACTTGCTCAAGTGAGCTCGAATTAATGTGGTATTCATATAACACAATAATATAAATAAAATTAGCATTGCATTTTCAAAATTAATATTTGAATAAAATAAGGATTTATTCGTTGGTCCAAGCCAAAATAATTGATTTTGTGAAACTATAAACCTTTGTGTACTTTTTAATATGTTAAAGTCTTTTTTTTTTTTTTTCCAACGACAGAAAATATGTTAAAGTCCAAATGAGGATTTAGTTGGTCCAAACCAATTGTAATTTACGGAAAAATTCCTGAAACGACTGGCAGTTGGGAAATAATTTGTACCGAATAGTTGCCTCCTACCATGCCATCCATTCATTTGCATGCCACTTATTAATTGCCCATTTCGAGTGGCACTCTATAGAACTAAAATAGGAAGATGCTACTGTCCACAAAACCATTCCGTCAAGATTTGTAACTGTTAAATCAACTATCTCTGACGGTTACATGATGATCTAACAGTTACAAATCCCTATGAAATGATCTCGTAATGAGACCTTAACATTTCCCTATAAAATAAACCATTACTCATATTATCGAGGAAGAAAGTGGAGATTATACAATTTAATAATATGCAACAAATCAATCAGACTTGAGGAATCACTAATTTAAAAAAAAAAAAAAAAATAAAAAAAATAACCAGCTCAAATAATAAACCTGCAAATTTACCATCCAAGCATTTGCCATAAAATTTCTCAATGACTTCCTCTAAGAGATCCCATAAAATAGAGGAACATCTTAGTACAAACCATCACATCAAACAACTTCATCAAGATCAACTGATATATCTCAACCAACCACTCATGATATTGGAAAAGAAATAACAATGGCATTATTATAAAAACTGCAGCTACTTCCATAGCCATACAAGATGAAAATGTTTTTAGTTTTCCCCAATCAAAAGGGTGAATTAGGATAGGCAAGAACATGCAAGAGCCTTCTCCTCGCTGAGCTCTTGGGCAGTCAAATCCAACTTCTTCCGGGAAAACTCGTCAATCGAGAGTCCTGTATCAGTTATGTTACATAAAAGAAGAAATGGTACTAAAACTCCCGCCATTAAAAATTTCCAGTAATAAATGTGTTTGGTGTAGTCATTGTACAGATGTGGCATTAATATTGAAATTTTTAAGTTGATTTGCAAGAACTTGGGTATTTTGTAATCAATGATGTATCTTTGCAATTGCCAAAAGTATAGTGAAGAATCCAAGAATTAGTAATCTTTGCTCATAAAAGCTAAGAGCTGAGTAATAAAGAGTCTGGTGCTTTACTAGTCATCGAACCATAAGCAGAACCAAAAAACCCATACTTAACACACAAAAATGACATTTGAAAACACAAAATACTACTTTCCCGGTTTCTCCCAACGAAAATTATTAAACACTTATCTAACTGCAACTGCAAACACTACCATAATTTGGACTTGAATAACGCTTTTATCATATACTGACCTTGAACGATAGACCATTCACCATTCTTGCAAATAACAGGGAAGGAGTAAATCAGTCCAGCTGGAACATTGTATGAGCCATCAGAGTACACACCCATGGAAACCCAAGTACCCTGAAATACAGAAGGAAAAAAAGAAAAAAAAAAAAAAAGAAAAAAGATCTATAAGAAACTGAACTCAAGATAGGTTCATCAACCACCATGATAAATTTGGAATACCCATGAATAATATATCCAAGAAAAAAGCATAATACCTCAGGAGTTCCAAGGACCCAGTCGCGAATATGGTCACAAGCTGAACTAGCTGCAGAAAGTGCACTAGAAAACTTTCTAGCCTTGATAATAGCAGCACCACGCTGTTGGACGGTAGTTATGAATTCTGAATTCAACCTAACAAAAAAAAAAAAGGAAAATATAAATTAATAAGAGACGTGCTAACAAAGAAAAAATCTGGGGAGTTAATGGCATGCATGCTGAATATTGTTACAATGCTTTACCATGTGTCATCAGCAACAAGCTCACGAACAGGCTTCTCTCCAGCTGGAGTCTTGACAGTAGCATGGTTGACATCAGGATACTGTGTCGATGAGTGATTTCCCCATATAATAACGTTTTTCACATCCGACACCTGAACATTCAATCTCTCTGAAATCTGTCCAAGGGCCCTGTTGTGGTCCAACCTCGTCAAGCAAGTGATGTTCTTCTCAGGAATGGATGGCGCAAATTCTTTCAAAATCAAAGCATTGGTGTTGGCAGGATTGGCAACAACCAAAACCTGAGTCATCAGTTCGACAACAATATCAATTGGGATATCTAAAAACAGTACATACCAACTTCTAGTAAACTAGTATTTTTTACTAGTCAGGATTCCTTTTATGGTTGTTTTGAAATTACCTATCTAATGTAAAGGCCGTGGAAGTAGCGAAAACTCACTCACCTTACAGTTAGCAGCAGCATGCTTCTCAAGAGCAGAAGCTTGGGACTTGTAGATGGAGACATTCTTGGACATCACATCTTTCCTCTCCATACCCTCTTTCCTCGGGAAGCCACCAACCATTACAGCAACATTGACACCAGTGCATGCTTCGACGGGATCAGTTGTAGCAACAACACCTGATCCACACATTATAAAGTATACATCAGAAAGGATACTAAATTATCGCATATGACAAAATGTCACAGCATATAACCATTGAAGTGAAAAGTGAAAACTTTAAATCTATCAAAAAAAAAAAAAGGAAGTACAGATTATAAACCTTTAAGAAGAGGAAAAGCTGCATCCACCAATTCCATTTTAACTCCATTAAGAGCCTCGGCAGCAGGTGGGATATCGAGCATGTGGAGGATCACTGGCTGGTCGGGGCCCAACATAACTCCCCTAGCAATCATTGGTACGAGAGCATATCCAATTTGTCCTGTGAAAACAAAAAGAATAAAAGAAAGAAAAGGAAAGGGACAAAACAATTGAATCTACTCTTCAGAATATCATTCTATACAATGTGATGCACAAGGAAATCAAAGTACATACTCCAAACCCTAAAACAAAACAACCAATCCAAGTTTGAATATACAGAAGAATCGAGAAACTAACTTCCGGGACATCTCAATGTCCTCGGTTCAATCCTCAAAACAGATATTGCATAAAGCAAAATCAACATATTTAGAAATGGTAAGAGATCAGATCATTGGATGCATAAACAGAACAGGTCAACAATATGTCCCAGATTTTTCCCATCACGATAAATACTCTCCATTACAGATTTTCCTCCAGAGTAAACAGCAAGTATAATCTCAACTTCGGCTGTAAATTAAAGAGGCAATCCCAATCATCGAAAACAAGAATTTTGAAGTACAAAATGAATCCATCGACATTCAGTTGTAATAAAGCGGATCAACATACATAGTTGCTCAAGATTCTCACACAGCAGAATATCATCTGGATAAATACAAAAAAGACAGCAAAAATATTATCTTCTTGCTTCAAAAATCCACTACAAACTACTCTCGGCACATCTCACGTTAACGATCATCTACGAAACAAAAAACAAATCAGAAAACGCTACACTTGGGCAACAATCAAAACACAACTATAACAGACCATGGTACACCATATTCGCACCCGATACACTGAGAAAAACAGCAGATGTCCGCATCCACCAATTGACAGTAGATTTTATTCAAAAAAAAAAAACACATCAAATGCTTCAAGCTAAAAATCTAGAGAGCAGATCTGGAATTGAACCGTGAACGTAAGCTGTACCTGCGGCACCAGTGACGAGAACACGAACTGGTTCTTTGGCCATTGATGGGGAAGAGAAGTGCGATCTGGAAAAGTCGATGAAAAGTAAAGAAAGGAGTTTTTGTGTATATCGAGAGGATAGTAAGGTTTTAGCTGAACTACAGACTGAGAGCTGCTATTTATCACAATTTTTTTGGTGATAGGCGAATCATAATTTTCGGGTGATCAGTAATGAGTCAAACTAATCGGTTTTGATTGGATCAAATTCATTTTTAATCCTTTATTAAAAGAGATTGATAAGTCTAGAAAAACATTTGGCTTGTTTGTTTATGGTTTTTTTTTTTTTTTTTTTTCGAAACGATAGAGAATATTATATAGATGCACAAATGTGCAAATTACAATTTAGAGCCGCAGCCAAAAGATGAATAAACTGGGAGGATTGGTCAGAAAACTGTCTAAATCCGACACTAGCAACGCTGGAATCCAAAAACAAAACACCAACTAAAACTCTAAATGAACTACTAAGAGCTCCCAACAGGAGAATCAACTAGCTCCCAACAGGAGAATCATCACCGAGGCCAATGACCCAAACATAAAACACGAGACCTAACGAAAAAAAAAAAAAAGACATTCGAACTATGAAACAAACAAAAGTCATTCCCAATCGGCATGACCAAGCGGAGCCAACGGAACCAATCAACCCAAAGTGCATTCCACAGCCAAAAGGACCCGCATAGAAATTGCCCAACACCAACTCGGTGGCCTAGCGAAGACGAAGTCCAAGCCCTGAAATAGCACTCCACGTCAATCACGAACCACCACCGCAACACCAATCCGCTCGGGAGCCGCCATTGTCCCGAACTCTCTAACACCACTAGTGAGTCCAAGCCCGACAGAACCCGGTGACCCCCGAACCACAGAGCATGGATACAGGAGAAGCAAAAAGATGTCGAGGCGGTCGGACCAACCCCCGACTCACCCGGAACCACCACGATCCCCGCCCACCATCGCACCATCCTGTCCAACACCACTGGTCGGAGACGCAGCAATAGTCCTCCTTGCCCCAACGCCAGAGACAGGGAGAAGGGCGAAAAACCACGGCGGAGCTCCAGCCATCTGACGCCGGAGCCATCGAAAGACCGAAGCATCCCCCACCCAAACAAAAATAGCCCCAACCACCGCCACCTCTTCCCGGAAAGCCCTCGAATTGAGCGGAAATCGGCGCAGAAGACCGACTGAAATCCGGTTGCAAACACAGGCATAATAGCAAGAGGAGGCACAATTCAAAGGATGAGGGTCGGATGACCGATGGAGCCGACCGTCGGCACCTACTCAATCGCCGTTAGGAAGGCAAGACGTCACAAATTGGCAGAGGTGAGCGAAGGAGAAAAAGCGGGGGTAGGGTTCGGCGGAGATGAAACGTTTTTAATTTTCTGATTAATTTGTCAAAAAATGTGAGTTATTTGTATTTGAGTTAATTGAGAAGAATTCCACTTTAAACTAATTAATCCACGTGCTGCCACGTGGGTCTAATTGTCTCCTTGTGGTTGGACATTTTTCAGTTACCCAATCAATTAACCTGTAGGGCCCGACACCCTCTCATTTTATAGTTTGTTTCGCTATTGGGTAAAAGATGCCTCTTCCTTGCATTTATTACGATTCTTTCTCAACAAGTATTGGAATAGTTTGATTCTTGTGGTTGGACATTTTTCAGTTACCCAATCAATTAACCTGTAGGGCCCGACACCCTCTCATTTTATAGTTTGTTATTTTATTTGATAAGTTTTAATAGGAGAATTACGAATTTGCCATTTGCCCATATAGAAGCTCAAATATAGAATAAACAGAAATGGACATCATCACAATGTGTATTCACCTGAGCAAAAAAAATGCACCAACCAAACAGCTCATTCCTAATAGACTCACCATTTGCAGTTCAAAAGAAAACAATGTCGGATTACAAAAATGAGTCTCCATAACCATCCAAAACACAATTCACGTAATGGTAACCTCAAATAGAGCACAATGATATGGAACAAGAGTGAATGTGCACGTCGAGCCTTCAACGATTCCACTAATGTCGACAAATTCGCATCAATTTCAAGTTCGTGCATAATTTCACCATACATCAAGAGTGCCCGAACCAAGTCCACACATTCACCCACCACATGTGACCGCCAGAATTGAATTGGAACCGGCTACATTTGAAACATGTTATTAATGTAATGTGGTTGAAATAAATTGAATAAGTATGGACAACATCAAATTGACAATAATTAAAAGACGATAACTAAGTGTGCACGTTCAATGTGTGTTTTCTTGATCTCGAGAGTGAAATGATGTCGCAAAGGGCGCTCTATAGCATTATCCTGAACAGCGATGACCGAAAAGTCTGTCAAGGTGGTGCGGTCGAACCAAAGATAGTACTTGGTCCTTATACCCTTCGCACGCAAGAACTATAGCCACCCGTCATCGAAGTATATCCGCTCATCATTCCCTCTGATTGTCGTCTCATGCGTATGGCCTTCTCTCATGGTCATCGTACATTGAATTGGTACATGAAGCATGTATTGATGAATGAGACCACCCGAGAGTCTCTGTAATGGAGTATAAACATTGGTTACTAAAGGACAATTAAAAATTAACTAGATTTGATCAAAGTTCATAGGTTCTACTATACGTTACCATTGTTGGTGTGGTGGTGCTGGAAATAACCAAAAAAAATCTTGACAAAGGATCGCCATGTTCAGAAACGAGTCGGCACATGACGATAACACAAAAAATGTCCAAAACAACACATTGTGGTTATGGTAATAATCCAACCATTTAATTGTCCTTCAAATGACAAATGTAGTGTCAAACATTGACATTATGCAAAAAAAAATCCTACTGAAAATCCGTGGAACGAACAACACACAGTAGTCTAAAAATGAACAAACAAATTCATAATTATATTATTAACTGTGTTGTCTTTCAAACATCTCTGCTAAAGCCCTCAAATTTGTGGAGACTCGTTTTCACTATTTTCCACTTTACCATGAAAAACTCAAGCTCTAAAATTGACAGCTTTTGAATATAACTCAAGCCCTCTAAATTGACAGCTTTTGAACATAAGTCAAGCCCTCTAAAAGCCCCCAAAATATCTTTCGCATTTTCAGGGAATTTCACAAATTTGTTGAAGGAAAATAACTCAAGCCCTATAATCGGTCCACCAAAAAAATTGACAGCTTTTGAACAACAAATTTAGAACGAACATTGAATGTTGATATAATGGGAAGGAACTTCAAATCGTACCCGGTTAATTATGGACTAAAAACTACACATCTACGAAAAATTGTTTCTCAATGACGTTAGGTGAAGGAGAGAGGACGAGGAAAAAACCTGTTTGGGGCGAGCGGCCATCACAATTGGGAGCACAAATCGTTGTCACTGCTTTCTTCTTGCAGAGGGATAGGGGCGGCGGAATTTCGTCGGACGTGTCGAAAAGGAAGGGTGGAAGAAATTGTGGAGTGAAAAGTGGCCTCTGTCCGAGTTTTGTGAAGGGTGCAAGAGAATTGTGGAGTGATGCTCTTTCCAACGGTTACAAATAATATTAATTAATAATTACATGTTGTATTATACCAACAAGGTGTATTGAAAGACATGGTTTGTAAAAATAATATTAATTATAAATATTAATTATGTTTTAATAGCATTTCTTGTTATAGACATGGTTTGGTATACTTTTTTGTCCCTTAATATTTCTTTTAAAGTTATAAATACTACCTTAAATTATAAATATATATAATGTTAATATTAATATTAATTGAAATTCAAATTACTCATTAATATTAGTTCCAAAAAAACATAATTATTCAAAATAACTTTAACTACAAAACAGTTATATGATATCAACACCAAAATTATATAATAGGAGACCGATAATTCGTTCAAGTCACCTTGTCATTTTACCTATACGTCATAATAAGTTGTAAAAAACCTATTTAAAATGTAAAAATAAATTTTGTTGTTATGATGATTATGTAATGGTAAATATAATTTTGTTATCAGTACCCGAGTAGTACACGGGTATTGCACGACTTTGAAATAATACGTTTGTTATTCTATTACCAGTGATCAATATTCTAAAAGTCGCTAGGCGCCCGCTAGGCGGTCGACCAGCGCCTAGTCGGGGCCTAAAAATCAATATTAAATACATTATTTTTTATTTATTTTAACTACCTACAAAATAAAATATCCCAACTTATAATAAATCGACATACCTAAGTCCAAATAAAACATTAATATATTTTCAAGAAAACATGAGAACAAAATAATGTAAATCGGAGGCACCCGGGCACCGCTTAGGCCGATTTTAAAACAGTGTCAGTGATAAAACCTTGCGATACAGAGGGGTTTTTTTTGTCTTACAATATGTTGTTAAAAATTTATTTTAAAGATATATTACTTTGTTGACCCGTTTATATTAATATAAATAATACTTTAACACATATAAATAAAAATTAATTAAATAGTTTTTGGTTTACCATAAAGTACTTGCCGTTGCAATTATGAAATTATTTTCAGATGAACATACACTATACAACAGATTTAAATAGCGTGTACAATTAACAAATAAAATATTTCTTCAAGTATTTGGATTTGAAATTCACAACTATTGATACTAAAAATATTTTTGATATTACTTGACTATATTTATAGTTTTTTAAGTCTAATGAATTGTTCGCTAATTATTTTCGCTATCCGCAAGTGTACGGCGTAGCTACAGGTAGTGGCGAGCAAGGTCGTATTCCACAGAGATTCTAGTTAAATTAATTAAGTACTAAAATAATGACGATTAAATATTATTTAAACTGACGAATGAGATGATGATTTTAAACTATGAAATTCAACTAAGAACTAATTTACCTAATGAAATAAAAATAAAATAAGATGCAAAAGATAGATTCTAGGCTATGCATTCCTCGGAATTAATTCATGAAACGTTTATATTCAAACAAACCTTATTTAATTTTACCAATCGTAAAGATAATCGCTAAATTGATTTCAACCTTTCTCTCGAACAAGCAAATCGTAGATATTAATTGTTATCTATCTCCTCTCGGTCTTAAGATGAACAACTAACTCCCATAAGTTCTTAGGATTTTCGTTCTCTCGCAAGATTATATCAACCTCTCGGTCTGTTTAGTCTCCTACGTTATAAATTTCCCAACTCTAGCAATCAATTATCTCCTCTCGGTCTAAAATCAATTACAAATATGCATTCATAGTGGCCATCTACTCACACAATAATAATAAGCACAAGGCCAGTTGGCCCAACTGAGTCTCAATGCGCTTGATGGAGGCGTCCTGATTGACATCCCGCTGCTCTCTGTTCGCCATGAACTGTAGGATCTTGGCAACGTCCTCATGGAGGTTCGAACTCGACCCCGCTTCTGGTCCCCTCTGCTGTTGCTGTGGCTGCTGTGGCTGAAAGTTCGGCCGGGGCACAAAACTGGGTCGAGGTTGTTGTTGCATGAAGTTCGGACGGGGTGGCTGAAGGGTGTTGGAGTTATTTGCCATCCTGGGTTATACGTGTTGGAATATGGGTCATTGGCTGGCCGATTCTGATATCCTTGTAAGGCACTGGCATCTGCATACTGCTCACTGGGGTCCTGCTCGAAAGATGAGGGGCATACTTCGGACCTATGCCCTGGGACTCCACACGCCCCACAAGTATCAATAGCGAATGTATTAACCGGTTGAGGCCCTCTTGCGGTAAGCAACCTCATCTGCTCAGTAAGTTCAGCTAGCTGTTGGGCCACCGCATCATTGCTTGTACCGACCTCGCTCACCACTGCCCTCTTGCCTCGCGTGCTCTTCTGGGACGAGTTCGTACTCATCGTCTCAAAGATCTCAAACATCTCTTCGGCTGTTCTTGCTCCGATATCACCTCCCGCCGCGTTGTCGACCATATCCTGCAAGTTCTGGTGGAGGGAGTCATAGAAACAGTTCATGAGTAGCCCCGGAGATAGGTTGTGATGGGGGCACTGCCGTTGGAGATCCTTAAACCGCTCCCAAGCCTCATGAAGAGACTCGTTCGGTAATTGAGCAAACGAGACGATCTGTGACCGGAGCTCTTGAGTCTTCTGATGGGAGTAATACCTCCCAATGAACTTCGAATACACCTCGGTCCATGTAGTGAGCGAACCAGGTGCAAGTGTCATGAACCAGGCCTTGGCCCGGTCTTTCAGAGTCTCGGGAAAACATCTCAGCTTCAACT